CAAGCTGATATTCTGCCTAGTTGACAAAATCTTGAGATCTCCCGATGTTTTAAGGAGTGCTATTTAGTCCTCAACTGTTGGCCATGCTAACCTGGAATTCTGGGGTTTGCAGCCTCTGCCACATCTGGATACTGCCATCCGCACTTTCCTGGTAAAAGACTGGTCTAAATATTCTAGATTAGATCCTTAGATTAGATGACTTGTTCTAGTATTATTTGAATAATGTAATAACAAAACATAGGTTCTTGTTCAAATTACTAGTCAATGATTAAGATATCAATCCGAATAAAGCTGGAAGGACCTTGGAAGTTTTCTAGTCCAACCTTATTCTCACAGGAGACCTATACGATTTCAGATAGCTGTCCAGTCTTTTCTTAAAAACCTCCAGTGACGAAGCACCTACAACTTCTGAAGGCAAGTTGTTCCATTGGTTAATTGTCCTCTCTGTTAGGAAGTTTCCTCTTAATTCCAGGTTGCTTCTGTCATTGATTCATTTCTATCTTTGTTTCTTGCCTTGCCTTATGGTGCTTTGGAAAATAAGTTGACCCGCCATCTTCTTTCCAGTACTGGAATACTGCTATCATGTCCATTCTAGTCTTTCTTTTCTCTAGACTGGCCATAACTAATTTCTTCAACCGTTCTTTGTGTGTTTTTGTCTCCAGGCCTTTAATCATCTTAGTTGCTCTTGTTTGCACTTTTTGCAAAGATTCAACATCTTTTCTGTGATGTGGTGACCAAAATTGGATGCAGTATTCCAGTTTTTTACTAAGGTTTTATAAAGTGAATACTTCGCGTGATCTTGACTCTATCCCTCTATTTATGCAATCAAGGATTGTATTAATTTTTTGGTTGCTGCTGCACACTGCTAACTCATGTTTAAGTGATTGTCCACTAGGACTGCAAGGTTCCTCTCACAGTTGCTGTTTTTGAGCCAGGTTGCATCTAATCTATACTGCCTAGGTATAAAACCTTATTAAATTCCATGATGTTGGATAGGGCCCATTATTCAAGTCTGTCAAGATCTTTTGGGACCCTGAGCTTGTCTTCTGAGTGTTGGCTATTCCTGCCTGCTTAGTGTCATCTGCAAATTCAATGCGTCCCACTTCTATTCCCTCATCTAAGTTATTAATTAACTCATCTAAGTTTATCTTAGAATGCCTAGGAGCATGTCATGGACAAGGTCTAACCTGATGTTTTTTCCTAATCAGGGCCCACCAATACTGCAATGGTGTCAACAGACCTGTGCAAAAGCTGTAGCTAGTTGTAAGGTTTGAATCATACAAAACCCTTCACCCTCAAGAAATGCCATGTAGGTCTATGAAAGCCAACTGCAATTGTGAATGAATGAATGAATGAATGAATATGTATGTATATGTATGTGTGTGTGTATGTGTGCGCGCTCTCATCTTACCCTTGTTATCTTAATTAACCATAAAGTAATTGGATAGTAACATGTTTTTAAAAAATGGTCTCATTCGCACCAGGGAAAAGAGAAAAAAAACAAATCCAGGATTTAGAGTATAACACGTAAAAAAGGGAAGATTATATATATTGGAATAACCATTGCACAGAAGAACTCAACGCCTTAACCATTCAGAATGAACTTTGGCCTTCCAGTGATCATTCTTTAGTACTTAAGTCTTCATAAATTTTCATCCTTTATAGAGTGTTTTTGATGGCAGACAATTCTTTGCTGAAAGTTAAGTGCTCTTTTATATGATCATTATAAAGCAGGCTTTGGTTTGAATGGGTACATTACACTGACAAATGTTTATTGGAAAGCCAATTACAGCTTCATAAATCAAGGCCCTCTGACACAGATAGGGTAAACTCAAAAGTACCACCAGATGTCACAATTGAGCCTAGCAGGGTAATTCAAATAATACCATGGAATCCTGTCCGTCATCCATAGTACTGACAGTAGTCAAAACAGGAAGAAATGGTTTATTATCTTTCATTTAACTTATTAAAATACTTGTTGCAGGATGTCATGGCCAACCTGGAGTTGTGGGAAATGGGGGAATGCATTTGTTTTCAATTTGCAGATAGATTAAAATGACAAGCACAATCCACTGGCAGATTGGCAGTTAAATTTTAAGGTGAACACTATTGTGCACATAAAGCTGAATAAAATCTCCTAAATCTTTTACCATTTTAATTTTACAAAGGGCAACTTACAGTATATTTGAAATACAACCATTAATGCATGTTCATGGTATTGTTTAAGTAGATTGATATTAATTGAAAATGATCAGTAAACATTAGAATGTCCTTTTTAAACACATCTAACCAGTACAACCTTGGCTTTATTTTTTATTTGCAAGAAATGATTGTAAATTTTGCTCTGTTCTGTATTTATCTGTACCTTGTTCTAATAAATGAGCCCTCGTGTGGTGAAATCAAGAAATTACATGGCTGAAAGCCTATCTTTGGGTTGAATGGACTAAACCACCGATACATTTTAAAATACTTTAATGAGTCTCAGGAATCTTCCATCCTGATGAGCATAAGAGAAAACCTTGTTCCTTTCATCAAATTCATTTTTGTGATAATCACAAAGCAGGCAGTAGGGAAGAAGAGAAAATTCCTGCTGCAAGCTAGATCATTATTGAATAAGAGTTTATTAAATAAATAAGAGTGGGCTTGGTTCACCTACAATAACTTGCAAATCACACGATATTTTTGTTATATATTTTATTTTATTCAAAACATGGTTAAAGTACAAAACTCCAAAAAATCCGACAGAAAACACAAAAAACACAAAACAATCAAAACATTAAAAAGGTACAGCAAAAAAAAAAACATATTCATATATTATTCCCCCTAAATGAATACTTATTATTACGATGCTACAACATTAATTCAACATTAGTTCCTACCTTTTGTGAAACATTTACATTTTGTATATCATATAATATAGCAGGTTTTTGACTCATGGTAGACAAAACTAAATAAATGCTATTATGGCTTTAACATTTAATAATACAACACTACTTCTTGAGTTCCTAGAGGAAGTCACAGATCCGTTCAGGATCCCTTCCCATTTTTAAGAATTATGGAAGACCTAAAGGGCTTTTGTTTGTATGGGTTATATTTATATTTACTGTAAAAAGTAAAATTGATGCATAAGCTATCACTACCACTTGTCTCGTTTGTTGATGGGATTTTGAACTTGTATTATTTTTCAACATACTTAGGCAAATAATTATTTTGTGGTCCCTGAAAGGGTCTTGGGGACATTCCAGAGGCCTAGGTCCATATTTTAGTCCTCGACTTAGTTGTTGACTTACAACCACACTTAGCCCAAAATGTGTCATGCTAATTAAGACAATTGTTAAATTAATTTTGCCCCATTTTATGATGTTTCTTATCGCAGTTCTTAAGTGAATCACTGTCCTTGTTAAATTAGTAACACAATTGTTGAATGGCTTCCTTCACAATTGACTCTGTTAGTCAGAGAATCGCAAAAGGTAATTACATAACTTGGGACACATTTCCACCATCATAAAAATGACTCTGCTGCCAAGCATCTGAATTCTGATCATGTGACCATGGGGATGCTTCAATGGCCGTAAATGTGAAAAATGGTCTTAAGTCACTTTTTCAGTGTTGTTTTAACTTTGAGTGGTCACTAAATGAACTGTTGGAAGTCGAAGACTATCTGTACTCATTCTTTCAATCTTCACATGAAAAGACAAAGATTACTAGTGACAATATTAGGAGGACTATGTACCATCTTCCCATTATTTATTAATTAGATTAATATTTTGCATAGCTCAAGGTAGCATGCATAATACTTCCTTGTCTTATTTTCTCCATAACAAGTTTGTGAGGTGGATTGTCAGCTGAGACTGAGGGAAAAGATCTGATGAAAATAAATTAATGAAAAACACACTGATCCTACCTGAATGTCAAGGAACAAAATAGGTTTGAATGTCTGGAAAAATCAGACTTTTAAACACTGTTCCAGGTTTTGTTATAAAATGTATATATTTCGGTCTTAGTTTATATATGTACAGCTAGGACTATTGGTTCAGGGTTGCAAAAGTTAGTGGAAGCAGACAATTAAACATTCCCAAAATGATATATTGCCATCTAACAATCATACATATTTTTGCAGACCAAATCTAGCATCTTTTATTGCAGTGGTCACCAACCGGAGGGCCGTAGCCCACTGGTGGTCCATGAGAAAATTTTGGTGGTCTGCAGAGAAATGTCACCCCCAAAAGACCCCCAAAGCAATTAATCCAGGCTGCACAGGAACACAAGTTTGCACCATTCACCTGGCCCGCGGGAACACAAGGCTTGCGTCGCTTGCATTATGAACAACACGAAGTAGTGAGAGGAAGGGGGAAAGGGCAGAGGGGGAGAACTTGCCCCACTCACCCCACGCACCTCGCCTGGCCACCAGGCTGCTTCTTTCCACTTCTTCCTTCTTCTGATTTTGGCTGCACGCAAGGAAAGCAGCAAAAGTTTCTTTCTCTCCCCCAAACTCCACCAGAAATGAGTCTTTGGGACCCTGCAAGGCATCCTGCTTCAAGAGGCTACACAGGCAAAGATTCATTCCTGGTGGAGTTTGGGGAGAGAAAGAAAGACCTCCGCTGCTTCTCCTGCTTTCCTTGCATGAAGCCAAAGGTCTCCCCCCCCCCCCCCAACGGAGCTGAAAAGCAAATTAGGAATGTGGCGGCCTTGCAGGGGGTGTGGAGTTGTGAAGGACCTGTGTGTGTGTGTGTGTGTGTGTGTGAGAGAGAGAGAGAGAGAGAGAGAACATCACAGCCAGCCCTCTGAGGTTCTCTCTCTCTCTCTCTCTCTCTCTCTCTCTCTCCCTCCCTCCCTCCTCCCTCTCTCTCTCTCTCTCTCTCTCTCTCTCTCTCTGTCTCTCTCTCTCTCCCATCAAAGTCAGCAAGCCACCATCAGTCAAAATTCATATTAGTGATCCGCAGGATTTAAAAATATGACTTTGGTAGTCCCTGAGGTCCAAAAGGTTGTTGACCCCTGCTTTATTGTATCAGAAATTTACTAAATCTGCAGGGTTCTTCTCTTTCTACTCCTAGTCCATCAACTTCATCTTGTGTGCAATAAATACTAGGATGAAAAAGAGTATAATATATAATAAGAGAAATAATACCCAATGTTAGGAAGATCACAACTGCAATAATCAGTGCTGACAAATATATTTTTTCATCAAGTAATGATTTCCAGTACCCACAAAGGCACAGTAAAATTACAGTTACAATTATTCGAAAAATATAATAAACACTCTGGACAATTGCTGTGTTTTCTCCCTTGATATTAAAAAAGGTACAAATGAGAATGATTGTCACAATCATTCTGTAAACATATTCTGCTGATTTAAATTTACAAAAATCTGTGTTTTGCTTTATCACCCAGCTTAGATTTCCAAACCAAAGAAAAATTAGCAGAACAATAGAACCTATAATGCTCAACATTGAGAATAAGACAATGGTAAGTATCCAAGAAGTTAATGTCATGAGTTTATAGAAAAGATATATAAGTTTGCAAAATATTCCACCAAATTCATTTTTATCAGGCAGAGATTTTCGCAAAACTATCTGATAGTTCACTGTTGCACAGGAAATGCTGCAGAAAGACATCGCGATGGAAACATCTTTAAAACAAAACAAAAATATGGAAGGTTAGTTCAGGCCAAACAAAGTTACCAAATTTTACATTTAAAAAAAATGTTTAATGGTGGATAACACAGTATAGAAAGTTAGCACTCACCCCTCTCTTAGAAGAATGAAATATTCTACGAAATATTAAAAAGGCAGAATATTATATTTCTCTGGATGAGAAATGGAGAAACATGTTTTTTGGGAAGCAGGAAGCAGACTCATTCTTAATAGCCCCCACCCTCCTGGCTAGGTCTATTCATAAGCAAATACCCTCACCCAAGATCCAACAAATGTATGATTAGCCCTCAGCTACTATAAGAATTGCCCAAAGCCCTTCATTAGATCACCCAGCAAAATTTAACCAACCTTAATTCAGACAACCTCAGCTGGAGGTTAGCTCCTGCATAGCTCCCTGGGAGTCTGACAACCAATAGGATACATTTCTTGCACAGGAACAGGAAGCTCTAGGGCAGTGATCACCAATCAGTGGGCCACGGCCCACTGGTGGTCCATGAGAAAATTTTGGTGGGCTGCAGAGAAATGTCCTCCCCAAAGCAATTAATTCAGGCTGCATGGAAACACAAGGCTGCACTGCCCACATGGCCCGCCCACCTGCTGGCTCCCACCCTTCAGCAAAGTGCAAACCTGCAAAAAACAGTGCAGCGCTTGCCATTAGGATGAGGTAATGGTGCTGTTGCAGCAAGAGGGTGCTGGTGGCACAGGTGGGCTGAAGCAGTGATGGAGATGGCCGGAAGGTGCAGGTCCACCATGCTACTTGCATTTGCATGGCATTCCCACACCTTCCAGCTCGCCTCTTCTGGCCTGGGCTCTTCCTCGATGGCTGCGGGCTGTAGGGATGGCCTGGGACAGGAAAAGTACCGGCTGGTGGTGGTGGGAGGGGGCGGAGTGGGCAAGTCTACACTCACCATCTAGTTTAGAGGTCCGGAATAGGGCGGCGGTGGCAGCAGTCTTCTCATCCCTCTTGGCGCTCTGGTCTGCTGCCCCCCCCCCTCCACGGCCCCAGCCATCACTGCCCGGGGAAGGCACAGAAAAACTGAGCAGCAACATAGCTCTCGCTGGGGTGAAAGAGCGGAGATCGAAGAAAGCACAGGTAAGAGAAGACAGAAGCTGCCGCCTTTGAAAAGCGCCGCTTTCTGTTGCCTGTGCTTTCCTCAATCTCCACTCTTTCGCCCCAGCGAGAGCTATGTTTCTGCTCGCTTACTTTTCCTGTGCCTTCCTCAGGCAGTGATGGATGAGACCGTGGAGGGGGGGCAGCAGAGATGTCAGGGCTGCTCTTCTCCCTCAGCAAGCCAGGCTTGGAGGAACGCAAAGAATTGCGGGCGAGCGCTGGAGAAAGGCATGTTGGAAATGCCAACACACATTTCAAGCGCTCTCTCCTCTGTCCTGAAGTAGGATTGAGTGGCGGGGAAGGGAGCAGGGGGAAAGGTAGGAGGGAAGGAGAAGCCCGGCTCACTTTCCTTTGGCATGGGGCGGGAGACCAAATGCCCAGACCAAAAGAGCGCTGAGGAAGACAGGCTCCTAATAACCAGCCTGTCTGTGCAAGTGAGACCTCTAGATTTTCTGGGCTCGACACCCGCCTCTTCAGCCTCCACATAGGAAGGCACCCTTCTCTGCTTGGAAGCGGTGGGAGAAACCTGGAGCTTAGTCTGGGGGGAGAGTCTTCTTGTGTGGAGGCTGAAGTGCCTGTTATTAGGAGCCCATCTTCCTTGGCGCTTCCAGCCCTCCTTCCCTCGCCACAACTCCAGGCAGCCACACCTGGCAAAGGAGAGAGAGAGGTTTCCTCTGACTGGTGGAAGATATGAAATGACAGGACGCCAGATTGGGGGGGCTCTGCTTTTCTTACATTTGAGGGGGAGCCAGTTCCTCCTCGTCCAGGTTTTCCCAGCCTCCAGGCCCCTCTTTCTTCCCAAAGGATGAGAGAGGCCCCTTTTTCCCTTCGCTCTGCCCCACAGTTTTTATATAAAGGTACCCAAATTGGTGGAAGTGTTTACTCCAGATAAAGTATTTTTAAAATTGACCAAGGGTTTATATTATATTTTAATACTTAATTACACAAGTATTAAAATACTTTAATTACTTTCAAAGATAGTAATTGATTACACTTTGCAAAGCTTAATCTTGATCTTCATTGTAATATTACAGAAAACTGTTTTTACAAAAGTAGACTGCATACAGATTAGACTTACATTGACCAAAAGCAGAATCTTCAGATGCCATCACAATATAGATCTGAAATATAAGCTGGGGTGTGCTTTCCAGGAAGGCTTTAAATAGCTGGAGCATACTTATATCAGTCATTGCACTGAAGCATAAGTTGCTGTTGGTGGAACTGTTTGATATAAATGCAGCCTGATATCCATATTTTAAGGTGAAATAGTATCTATAATGAGAAAAAAAATACTCTCTTTAAAGAACAAAAGCTAGATAGATAGAGAATTAGACATAGATCAGTCTTCCATTTCACCACTCCTCCCTACCCCATCTCAAACATTTTATTAAAAGGAAGATGATATTTGTTTGATGCTGAAAGCTAAATAAAAAATACTGCTTTTATTGATGTAAATCACCAATAGATGGCAATACTGAGGTGCTATATAAAATATGTTTTTAGGATCTTTTCTTCCACTTCAAAAGGTAGGAACTTGCTATGGGATGGGGACAACTCTTGTATTGCTATTTTTTGTGAAATGACAGCCTGCAGGAAGTATTTAACAGTCTCGGTTAAACAGTGGTCTCTGAGTGCATTTTTGACTGCTGAAGGAGTTCTTCCAACTGAGTCCATCCATGCACATGTACTTTTACACATCTTGCATCACAATATGCATCACAATACGCTAAGAGCATATTGTCCCTCTTTCCCAGCTGGGATACAAACAGGATAACATAATTCCTTTTACATACAGAAGGGCCTTCATTTATTAGTGATGGCAGACTGAAATTATTGCTGTTAAATAGTTCTTATCTATTATGTACAGCATAGGGAAGCCGTGTGATGCAAAGTACTCAGCAAGTACCTGTTTACTAAATTAGGGCTCATAACAGCTTAACATTCTGATTGATTTTTAACATACGTGAATTTCCAAAGCTGCAAAGGTACTAAATGTATGCCAGCATTTTCCATAGTGCTGTGAGATCAAGAATGCTCTCCAGTTCTCTAAATATCCTTGAGGCTAAGACATAATATCCTCCAGAATAAAACTTAAAACAAATGATGTATTAAATATTTCAAGACAGATTAATTCTTGTCTCCTATACAACTTTTGCCATTCAAATCTTGAGTATTTGGTGTTGTAAGCTACATAAATTATTTATATTGTCAAATTATATCATATCAAGGGATTAGAACTGAATGACAAAACAGTAGTTTTGCAGTGTGTTCCAATATCGCTTTATCATTATTTCAAGATTTTCTCTTAAAACAGTAATTCCATACCTCTCATCCATCGCTATGCTGCTATAACCTATTTTAGAAATACACCTCATTGAGGTCAATCAGTTACTCCCAGTAAGGTTTGTATCATAAAGATAACTTTTTCATCAGGGTATAAGCATATTCAACTACTATGAATTCACACTTATATGAAAGGTTCCATAAGATCAATATATGCAAATCCTGAATGTTTTAAGTTTTATACAACTGTATTTATTTTCAAGAAGAATGCAGTCAAAAGATACTTTCCTTTCCCCTGTGGCCCTCTAATTCCAAATCTGCTTGAGAGGATTAGAATTCTCTAGACCAAATTTGGGAAAACGGGCGTGCAGGAAGAAATGAAAAATATTCATATATACACAAGACTGTAAATGCATTCCAAAATATTTGAAAACTGAGGGTGTTTGACCATTACTTACATTCTAGTCATGTCATTTTAAAATTCTTAGAGCAGTGAAACCCTTTCAAAATTCATCGACTTGTTTGCATGACATCAGACTGAAAAATGTTGCTTTGCTCTGTGGTTATAAGTGCCAAAAAAAGGGGGGGGGATGGTTGAGGTTGCTAAACCAAGTCAGAATAGTTTAAAAATTCAAGTGATTTCTGCAATGGTAGAAATGGTAAAAGTCATGAATCTGTTCTGATGGCACATAGAAGGTTGGGTTTGCTGATAAATTTATTTTCATAAGATAATTCCTTTGCTATTGCTTTATAATACTGTGACTGTATTGTGTTGCTGTTGCTTGATAACACTGTGACTGTGTTGTGGTATATATACATCTATTCTGGTTATTGCATGTCTAAGTTAAATGAAAATTGTGTACCATTTCTATTTGCAATGCACACTAGAAAGGTTGGGTATTATTCCAAAAAGATAAAATTATGCAGCTACACTATGAAACATATGGCTGTTCATTGCAGAATATTATGGTTGCTAATGACTTTTTAAAAAAAATTTATTGGTTTTTAAAAACAAACATAAACAAACAAAACATAAAAACATCAAGCTATCTTCCATAGGTGTACATACAGTGTGCCGGTTGGTTTACAAATTGTTTTGTGCTTCCATTTTGTAGTCTTCAATTACAATTACATTACATATTGTCAATCAAAAATTAAATACCTTAGTATCATTATTAATCAATCATTTGACTATACTTTAATTCATTCATGTTTTACAAGATAACCATAATTTACTTAGTTTATTTGATAACAGTTCATATTATCATCCCAAATCTATCCTAAAATCATTTTGTAGATATAATAAGAAAGAAGTACATCTTTATATATTTATTATTTTCTAAAAGTCTACATATTTCATTACTGTATTTTATTGTCTAACCATTGATAGAAAAGATTCCAAATTTTATAAAATTGTTTATCCTCTTGTTCTCTAATTTCAAATGTCAATCTACTCATTTCAGCACATTCCAATATTTTCTTAATGATTTCCTCCTATGATGGTATTTTCTCATTTTTCCAGTTTTTAGCAAATACAATCCTAGCCGCTGTTAATACATTTACAATCAGGTATTTCAAGTCTTTACTATATATTTCAGGTTAAATTCCCAATAAAACTATCTCTGGTTTCAAGTCTATATGTTTTTTTGTCATTTTTTCCAACCAAATGTGGATTTTAGTCCAGTATTTTTTAGCATCCGCACAAGTCCACCAAATATGGTAATATGAGCCAGGTGTCTGATGACATTTCCAACATTTTTTGGATTTATTCTTGAACATTCTTGCTATTCTTGTCGGGGGAAATGCCACCTGTTTGGTTGCTAATGACTTTAATGGCCCATTTTTAGGTGGAATGCCTCCTTTTCTCATATGTGCTGGATGTTGGTCTGATTGCCAATAGACAAAACATAGATTTAGGCCTGATCCCTACATCAGAATCTGCTGGTGTACTAGTACTAGCAAGAGCCCCCAGCTATAATGCAGACAGCAGGATTCACTTTGATTAAGCATCCTTCCAAGAACAAAGCTTTTGCATCAGAGGTGGTATTCAGTAGGTTCTGACCAGTTCTGAAGAACCAGTAACAGAAATTTTGAATAGTTCGGAATACCACCTCTGACTGGCCCTGCCCCAAGTGCCAGCTGATCAGCTGGGTCTGCCTTTGTTGCCCCTGCACAGGAGAACAGAACTGGAAAGCAGGTTAGTGGAATGGGGAGAGAATGGGGATTTTACAGTATCCTTCCCCTGGAATGGGGTGGGAATTGAGATTTTATACTATCCTTCCCCTGCCATGCCCACCAAGCCATGCCACACCCACCAAGCCACGCCCACAGAACCAGTAGTCAAAAAATTTGAATCCCACCACTGTTTTGCATCATACGTAGAAACAAAGGAGAAACCAGTTAATACATAAAGTAGGAATGAGAGCACTAAATCAATATAAGGCCTTTCCTCCATTTACATACTTAAAATATATAATTCCCAGTGATGACCAGTTTTTCATTGTTTTACTCAGTCTTAAAACAGCTGCACTAATGGGTTAAATGCCTTTCCTCTTACGGAAAAATAGGTTGTAGTATCTCTTTGCAGTTGCCAGAGTGTTGACTATATATTTTATGACATTTCAACAATTGGCTTTAATTAACAATGTTCAGAAATACAGCTCTTACTCTCTCTGAACATTTCTAGAGTGGAGAGGTAGAAGTGGAGAGGCAATAGCAGATAAACAGAGATAAAGACAACCCATCTGAAATGCTATATTGCACCAGATGAAAGTGCCTTTTTCCTCCACCATAGAAACAATGTTCCTTCAGCAGAAAATATTACCAAAAGGATGCAGCTGTGAAATAACATAAAGGAACTGATTCCTGTTCCTTTGAGAATGCCCCCTTGCAGGCAGAAAGTTAAGTCTATTGTCTGTCAATAACACTGCTTTCTTATGTTATATGGATATGTATTTATCCTTCAGAATAGCCCTGCAGGATTTGTGTTTTCTTTTCTTTTTTTAATAAAGTTTTATTTGGGTTTTCACACATACAAAATACAAGTAAAACATCTTTTTTGAAAATAGCATGGTCCCGGGTTGAAGTTCTTTATACAGACACAAAAACTTAATTTCATGCTCCTTTTTGTATTCTATTCCATATCTTATACTATTCTACATTTTCTATATAGTTTTTCCCCTCTTTTAATTTTCTCAATTTTATTTTGATTATCTCATCTCAATTCAAATCATTATATTTATACTTTTGTCTGTTCTGTTTCAATTTCATATTATCTTTTCTCATTAAACAAATTTTCTCCTGTAGTTACTAATTGGAGTATGATACCTTTATATCTTTTAATTACATCAATTCAACTCTTATTTAAACTTCAATATATACCTTAAGGTTATGACCTTCAATATAATACATAATACATAACTTCCAATCGAATTCTGCTTGGTACATTCTTATAATACACAGTATATTCTTTAAAAAAAAGGGATTATAAATATATGTAATTATAAACCCTCATTCCATTCCAATTCAGTTCTATCATTTTTTATTTTTATTTTTTGGAAAAATACTTTATTAGTTTTACCTTTAAAAGAACAACACAGCTACAAGTTATGTACAACAAAAAGACAAACAGGCCTTAGCATAGGCCAAGAGGGAAAGAGAGGAAAGCCTAAGAGAGGAAAAAGGGAAGAGTAAGGGAGGGGAAAGGTAGAGTAGGGAAAACAGTTAAAATAAAACCATATTTTGTGACTGTCTGTAAGATCTTTTCTTCTTCAAAAATATCGTCGGCGGTGCTTTTCATTATCTCTGCTTCGGAGGCCCTCGGCCATAATTTTCCTAGAGGTGATCTATCTTTGGTTTAGCCAATTATACAAAGGATTCCAATTGTTGTACTAGGATGAGGGTTCTTTCTTTTTTAATGCTTGGGTTAGTTTGTCCATTTCGGCGCATTGTAAAATTTTCTGAATAACCGTATGTTCAGTGGGAATGGA